TATGTACAGATAAACCCATTTCCCCCTTAGACCCTCCCTTTTACCATGCCACCTACCCTACAGGGGCCAGAGACCAACAGTTGATTCCCGAATAAGGCTTCATTAGTCTAATGCCTGCTTATGCCCTGAGGAGAATGTGTGTGTGGGTGGGTGGGTTGGTTAGTTGGTTGGTTGGTTGGTTGGTTGGTTGGTTGGTTGGTTGGTTGGTTGGTTTTCTTGGCAGGGTTTTTCTGTATAGCTCTGGCTGTCCTGGAATTCACTTTGTAGGTAGACCAGGCTGGCCTCAAATTTAATTAACTTTTTATAAAAGGATTTTTGTTTTGTTTTTGCGTTTATTTAGTGGGTGTGGAGGTCAGAGGACAAATTGTGGGAGTAGGTTCTTCTACCACACTGGTTCCAAGGTCATTAAGATTGGTTTCAGGTACTCTGTCCACCAAGCTGCTTTGCTGGCCCAGTTTCAATTGTTTGATTTTTTATAATCAACAAAAACACTTTTTTACTGTGGTCAGATGCTCAGGAGGCTGAGGCAGGAGGTCTTATGAGCCCAGGGATAATGAAACGAGAGAATAGGGCTGAGGATGTGCAGCTCAGTAGCAGAGGGTCAGCCTAGAGTCAGTGTGAGAGCCTTGCGGTGTAGCTTGGTGGTACAGCGCTGGATGCAGGCTTCCAGCCCCAGAGTTGTGGGGGGAGGGATGCCTTTCATTTGGGTATGAAAGAGCCATGTTAGGGGCCAGAGAGATGGCTCTGCTGTTAAGAGCAGTGGCTGCTCTTCCAGAGGTCCTGAGTTCAATTCCCAGCAACCAAGTGGTGGCTCACAACCATCTGTAATGCAATCTGATGCCATCTTCTGGCCTGCAGGCATACATGCAGGCAGAACACTATACACAATAAATAAGTATTAACTAAATACAGAAACAAGTCGGGGGGGGGGGGTTAGCATTTGGTACTTTCCTCCACTCATTTGTGGGCTTCACAGTTACACATCAGCAGACATTGGAGGGTAAAGCATGGCACCCATGACACCACCTTCTGAGGCCATCCCTTCCACAAGCTTCCTATGCCACACCAATTTTGAAGCTGTGGTCACAAAGGGGTGAGGTCATCTAAGGGTTTCCTGATGTGTCCCCTCAGGGATCTAAGGTGGGCAAACTGACCCTCAAGACTACGGAGATGGAGACCATCTATGACCTGGGCACCAAGATGATCGAGTCTCTGACCAAGGACAAGGTCCAGGCCGGGTGAGCCACTGGGACCATGAAGGTGGCTGGGGTAGTGAGAATGTTTTTTTTTCCATGACAGGGTCTCTCTGCCTGGCTGTCCTACAACTTGCTTGTAGACCAAGCTGGCCCTGAACTCACAGAGATCCTCCTGCCTCCTCCTGAATGCTGGAACTAAGGGTATGCGCCACCTCTGCCCAGCCCTTTCAGTCTTTGCTGTTGCCCCTGCAGGGACGTGATCACTATTGATAAGGCCACTGGCAAGATTTCCAAGCTGGGCCGCTCCTTCACACGCGCTCGCGACTATGATGCCATGGGCTCCCAGGTACCTGGCACTGGGATGTTTGTATATCTTTTGTGACGTCATGAGGTGCCTGTGCCCTTGCTGCCCTCACACCTGCCCTCAACCCTATAGACCAAGTTTGTGCAGTGCCCAGACGGGGAGCTGCAGAAACGCAAGGAGGTGGTGCACACTGTGTCCCTCCATGAGATTGACGTCATCAACTCCCGCACTCAGGGCTTCCTGGCCCTCTTCTCAGGTCAGCTGTCCCTCCCCAACCAGTCCCCAGCAACTGATGTACCCCCCTTCTGGTGTGTCCCTTCTTTCTCCTCCCTTGGCACAACAAACCCCCGGCTTTCCTGCCCCTTCAGTCTTTCTTCCCAGACCTGCTGTTTGCCTTCTGTTCCCACTGGAGTTTGTCCTTCCCTGCATTGCCCTCACACCCTTTGTCAGGGCCTGGCCTTCCGTCCTTTCTAAAGTGCTCCAGGTCCTAGCCCTGCTGCTGTAGCAGTAGAGCCCTCCTCTGTGGCATTTGTCTTTCTCTGTCCTTGCCCACCCCGGATCCTGGACCCAGTCTCCATCTCCACTGATGTGCCCTGTGTCTGGCAGGAGACACAGGGGAGATCAAGTCAGAAGTCCGAGAACAGATCAATGCCAAAGTGGCTGAGTGGAGGGAGGAGGGCAAGGCGGAGATCATCCCTGGGGTGAGTGGCTAGACACAAGGTGGGCGGGTATGACCTGGGGAAAGGGGTGGAGGTGAGCTTGATCTGTGCCCCAATGGCTTCTAGGTGCTGTTCATCGATGAGGTCCACATGCTAGATATTGAGAGTTTCTCCTTCCTCAACCGGGCCCTGGAGAGTGACATGGCCCCAGTCCTCATCATGGCCACCAACCGAGGCATCACCCGGATCCGAGGCACCAGCTACCAAAGTCCCCACTGCCCCCCCCC